CGGGGTGGGATGGTACATATGACCGAGAGCCTGTTGCTTGATGAATTTCGCTCTCCTCTAACAGCGTCATCAATTTTTTGCCGGACAAAAGGCAGAAAAGCTAAATCTTTTTTTTTAATTATAGGAGGTTCAAATGCACAAGTTAAAAAGGGGCAGTGGGGTGACAAGGACAAGCATAAGAGGGTTTTGGGGGTGGAAGGAGGTCTACAGATGAGTGATTCCATTAATCTGAAGAATTATTAGGCTTTTATTCTGCCTGTCTATAGAATAAAATAGAATAAAAACTTTACTGTACCTTTAAATGTACATTAATCAGCATACATTAAAATGAAATTTCGTTGCATTCAGCTCTCCAAAAATATGCATATACACATACACACATATGACACAGAAACATCACAGTCTAGTTTGAATGTATACATATACATGGGGGGGGGGGGGATCCTGCAAATTTACAAAACGGATGGCATAAGGATCAAAGCTGTTACAGAATCTAGTAGACCTGCTAGAAATACTTTGAAACCTCCTCCCAGAGGGCAGCAACAGAAACAGACCATGAAGTGGCTGTGTGGAGTCTCTAACAATATTTTGAGCTCTAAGCACATAGTGCTTATAAGCTGTATCCTGAATAAGCTTCCTATAATCTCAGCTGTCCTTATCATTCTCTATATGGACCTTCTATCTGAGGCAATATTGCTACCAAATCAAACATTGATGCAGTTTGTTAAAACACTCTAAATCATGCCTCTGTAAAAAGTGGCCATGACAGAAGGAGAAAGATGTGCTATCCTCAACTGACACAAGAAATGCAAAGGCAGGTTTGATAATGTATGAAGAGACCAAGTTAGATTGTTAGTTATCTGCACCTCCAGGTACTATTGACCACCAAATACTATTGACCACCTTCAAAGTGGACTATGATTATGCTGGCTCTTTCTAAAATCAACAATGATCTTTTATTAACATTCAAAACCAGGTTATTTTTATATTAATTTACATACATGCATACAGTATATACATGACCTATATAGTATATATGTATGTTAACTCAAGGTGGCAAACATGCCTAATGCTCCTGCTTCCTATTTTCTTCACAACAACCCTCTGAGGTGGGTTGGGCTGAGAGAGAAGGCCTGGCCCAAAGTCACTAGTTGGCTTTCATGTCTAATGCAGGACTAGATCTCAAAGTTCCCTGGTTTTTAAGTCAGCACCTCCACCACCACACCCAATTGGCTCCCTAAAATTAGATAAAGGAAAAATGTGGTTGACTAGACTTGACCCACTGCAAATCAAGCATTTCTACCCATTATTTCTACCAGAAATATACAATACATCCATACTAGGCTGTGTTCACACAACATACTTAACTTATTCAAACTTAACATGACATATTGAATATGTGTCAGTGAGGGTTCCAGAAAGTAAGTTTGAGTAGACTCTAGGTTTTAATTTTTATTATTCTTTCCCTCATGTCACAGTATCATCAACAGTCCCGCAAGGGAGATAGGGCGGTATATAAATTTAATAAATAAAAAAAATAAAAATAAAATAACAGGGTCTCGACTGCAGCAAACGTATCATTTTGCCTTGCACATTTATCTGAATTTCTCTGTCTCCAAAACTAAAAACAAATGGTATAGAAGAATGTTCATCTGTGTTTCAATGCTTATAAGACATCTCATGGTTCACAGCTGTGTTGTTTTCCAATTCTATTAGTAAAAACAAAACAGCTCTACTTATTTCAATAAAAGCATTGATTTTGATGATGTGTTAATTTCATAGGTGGTCATCATACTTCCTGCATTTTTTGGCAGCAGTTTAGAAATAAAAAATAGCCTTTTTTTACTTGCTAATGCCTGTAACAACTGAGCACCGTTGAATCCAGGATCACATTAGGTTGATGGGTCGTTCACAACACATTTGTATTTCCGTTGGCAGCATGTGATTTTTTAATGATTAAAGGTATTCATTATGACTGGCCACAAACACGGTCCAAAAATAGAAAGAGCTCCACTGTTAATGTGTTATTAGGAGATGCTTGGTTTGGTCAAACCATAACATTCATGCTTTAGGAAGTTGATTCAAATTGTTTGGAATTAGAATTTGAAAAGGCAAGTGTGTGCAGATGCATTAAGGTGAGCACAGATTCTGAAACTATAAAACCAGGGGTCTTGAAACTTGGCCCTTTTATGACTGTGGACCAACTCCCAGAATTCCTCAGCCAGCAGGCCTGGCTGAGGAATTTTGGGAGTTGAAGTCCACAAGTCATAAAAGGGCCAGGTTTGAAGACCCCTGCTATAAAAACCCCTTGGATTCTAACTCTAGTCCCAAATCAGGAGTTTTCAGCTATGACAAGAGGCACTGTAGTATTCGGACTAGCGGTTGCTCCCATGGGCTGAATCCTGATGTTGGCTGCTACTGTAACCCCACAGTGGTGTGAATTCTCCCAAAGACCTGGTTTCCCTCAAGATGTCTCTTTCAGTGATGGCCTGTGGGAGAGCTACATAGAAATGACCACCATACAAGTCAAAAAATGCCAACCTATCCCAGAGGAAATGGCCATTTCTTGGCGGTTTCATATGATGAGGACTTTGACTCTTCTTTCAGTACTGGTTGGCTTCCTGGGTTATGTTCTTACTTGGGAGTCCGCTGGTGGTCTCAACAGCCAAACTACTGCCTTAGAAGAAGTTCTGGGCTTTTACTCATGCTTTCTGGAGTCTTGTATCTCTGGATTACATCTTACATAGCATACAAAGCTCTAGCAAACAGTACCAATCCTCAGAGCCCGACCAAGGACAGCTCTCGTCTTGGAACATGTCTTTATTTAGGGTGGACCGGAGGATCAGCAGAGACCTTGGCTGGCACATGTCTGATGGCCACCAGAGACCGCAACAATAGGTTACAGGCTCTGCCTTTGCCATATATTATAGATCAGGGATCTTCAAACTTGGCCCTTTTATGACTTGTGGACTTCAACTCCCAGAATTCCTCAGCCAGGCATGCTGGATGAGGAATTCTGGGAGCTGAAGTCCACAAGTCATAAAAGGGCCAAGTTTGAACACCCCTGATCTAAAGGACTGAGGTTCATTACCCTCTATACATCTAAGAATAAGTTAGCATCTCATAAATTAGTATATCTCAACATTAGTAACTTTAAGGTGGGTGGACTTCCTTCTTTAAAACATGTTTCTACAATATCCTATACTTGTTGAGTTTTGGGATGAAGTAGTAGATTATATAAATATGATTGTGCGACCAAAGCTAAAATATTCAGATAAGGTTTTTGCTTTACTCTTGAATTACATACCTAGTACATGGAATTTGGCAACTGGACAATGTAAATGGATTGTCAGTGCCTTTACTTTGGCTAAAAAAACTGATGTTCCACCATTGGAAAGATAAACGTATGGCTTCATTTATTGAGTGGATTGAGAAGACCTGATCCAATTTGCCACTTAAAAGCAGATTGTCTACAGATGTAGACTGTATATGAACAAGTACAAAGAAATATGGGGCTTATTTATACAAAATATATTAGGTTAAAATGGTAATCATATATGTTAGAAGTATATACCGGTATTAGATAAGCATATATAGAATTGTAACCATTTACTGATATAATGACATGTCATACTATGTTTTTTTAATTTGTTACATTTCTTTTTTTGTTAAAGCACTTTTTGTTTCTTCTTCTTTTTGACATCGTACATATTTCCATCATTACCTTGGTGTTTTTCTCTTTCTCTTTCCTTTTATTGTTAGGAATTAAAAGTTGTAAAAATAAAAAAGACGTGTGGACTTCACTCTTCACACAGCAGGCTAGATGGGGAATTCTGGAAGTCCACATCTTAAAGTTGGCAAGTTTGAAAAACACAGATATAATAGATGCAAACCAGACACTTATCCAATTTGCACAAATTCATGTTAGCAAATGAGGCCTTGCAACAGTCTCTTTTTTTGATGGTGTGTATGTAAACTCAGGTCAGCCATATCTCATTTGGAAGAGAAACAAAGCAGACATTCCAATATGGAAACAAACCATGAACGGAACTTTCCAGAGCTTAAGCTTCAGCTTCACTGCAAATGATTTGACTAAAGCTAACTGGAGAGGTCATGGCAAAAATGAGTTTCAAAGGAACTTTGCTGCTATGCTGGGTGTGATGGTTCAGAATCCAAAGAGAAGAATGGTACATATTTATGGCATGCACCAAATAAAAGAAACAACTTTACAGTACAATGCATTCAATGTACTGAATGCACTCAAAAATGCAATGCACCTTGCACCACATGAGATATATATAGGGGGAGGGGGTAAATCAACAACAACTCTTTTTTTTCTACATTGAAGGCACAGAACACCCGAACAGATCCAGAAAAAAGTGATCAAATTTCCTTTTAAAAAATGTATGGAGAGAGAAAAAGAAATAGCTTCTTTTAAAAGCAGATTCAATTTGTATTATAATTCATTTTAAAAAAGAGACTCTGGAGGGCTGAGCATTTTTCAATAACTACAAAGATTTTTTAAAAAAAATCAAAATGTGAATATTTTTAAAAGTTAACCATTTTGAATTAACAAACCACATTTCTTCTTGCCTACTGAGCCCTGGAGACGCAGTGCTTAGAATGCCCACAGCTTGGAGTTCAATCCTGATCGGGCTCAAGGTTGACTCAGCCTTCCAACCTTCCAAGGACAATAAACGAGGATCCAGTTTGTTGGGGGTAATATACTGACATTTGTAAACCACTTAGGCCAGGGGTCTTCAAACTTGGCCCTTTCCTGGCTGAGGAATTCTGGGAGTTGAAGTCCACAAGTCATAAAAGGGCCAAGTTTGAAGACCCCTGACTTAGGCAGTGCTGTAAAGCACTATGGGGCAGTATGTAAGTCTAAGTGCTATTATTGCTATTCATTCTGTTGTATTGCAGCTGGGTTGCTGGCAAATGGTCATTTGAAAATAAAAATAAGGAAAAAAATCATAAACTAACTTTAGAAACATATTCTAAAATTTATTTATATAACTCATTTCTTACATGTTTACAGCATCCAGCTTCTAATGCAAGCTGGTTTTTCAATATAAACTATCATCATTGAAAACCACAAACTGTGGTTTGGTCAGATGTCTCTCAGGTGCTAAATATACTCAAAGGAACGTTTCATCTTAAAAGATGTTGGAGGAAATGGCTGTTTTGAAGAAATCTGAAGGGCACAAAGTCTGTGCTAGTCAATGCCAGCTCTTTCCCAGATGCTTAGTCACCAAAAGCCACTTTCTTCCTCATCGGTCTTCTATTTTGCAGTCAGGAACTCTCCGTTGCTACATAAAAAGCCCACAATCTTTCTCAGTTGCCACCATTTTTGTAATCCATCTCTCTAAAATGAGAGAATCATTTGGAGCCATTGTTGCTGTCTGGATAAAACTTATGGACCAACCCAACTGTAATCTCAATGCCTTCTGAGGAGGACGCTTGTCGTAAAACATTCCTATCCAAAATTCTGAAATGACAAAACCGCACCTCTGTCTGATGCTGTGTATGTGGAGCTGGGGAAAGTATATTTTAGCTCAGAGGGCAGAGTTCTCACAGATGCAATGGATCTGAAGCTGCCTCCAAACTGAGGTCAAAACTTGAATCTATTGCGCCATTGTCTTGGTTCAATTTTTTAGCCCACCACATCTGTATTTCCTGGTATAACTCCTGATGTTGTTCTTTCCAGCTCCTGAATTTCTCAGAGTTCAGTTCGGTGTCCTCGAGTAGAATGTCAAGTAATTGGAGCTCAGCAGTTTTGGCCTGGGGAAGGAAAGGAATGTTCTAAGGCTGGTGCATGACTTGCTTTCACAAGGACAACGGAGGCCAGAATAGCACAAGCATTTGGAGCGGCTTTTAAATGGATTTGCTAGATCCCTTTAGAGAGAGACAAGGGCCCACCACCATTACAAAGTTGTCACAAAATATTTTGGTCCCTTGAGCAGCAAAACACCGATATATTAATAACCTTCCAGTTACAAACCGTTGTCCCTTGAGGTAAATATCGATTTTATTCACTGTATTTCTAATGCATCAGAGAGCCAAAGGCATCTGGCCAGATTCCGAAAGGATTTAAACTACTGAAATTTTCTGAAGTTTTAAAAGGAAAAATAAATAATAATAATAATAATGATAAAGTTGGAAGGGACCTCGGAGGTCATCTAGTCCAACCTCCTGCTCAGGCAGGAAACCCTATACCATTTCGGACAAATGGCTGCCCAGTTTCTTCTTAAAAACTTCCAGTGTTGGTGCATTCACTGCTTCTGGAGGCAGGTTGTTCCACTGGTTAATTGTTCTAACTGTCAGGAAGTTTCTCCTTAGTTCTAGGTTGCTTCTCTCCTTGGTTAGTTTCCACCTGTTGCTTCTTCTCCTGCCTTCAGGCGCTTTGGAGAATAGCCAGGAAACATAAAATCCACTGTTCCAGAGTGGATCGTTCTCTTACATTATTAAGCCTTAGAAATACATAAAAGGGGACTGTCTTTCCCTAGAGTAAAAAGACATTATTATGGGAATCAGGTATGTCTAAGCCCACACAGTTGAGGAAGTTTTTATAAAGACCTGCCTCACCTGGGCCGGACACCTGGCCTGGATACTAGACAAGAGCTCAGATGGACACCAGACATGACATAAAAATCTCCCTTGATAATTAAAATACTCTGGTCCCAGATTGATCTGGTTTGTAAAAGGAGCACATCAAAACCTTGCATTGGATCCAGAAACAACTTGACAGTGATATATCAGCAGTATGGAAGCTACTTTTATTGATTGAGAACTTTGATGACTCTATATTTTACTTTCCACTTGTTGTTAAGCCCCACTAAGGTTTAAAAAAAAAAGAGTTACTCTGTGAAATCTTTTCAGGACCTAGCCCAGGGGTAGGCAACCTTGGCTCTTTTATGACTGGTGGACTTCAACTCCCAGAATTCCTGAGCCAGCATGGCTCAGCTTGGAAACCTCTCCCTTTCCCCTCAGCATGGCTGGCTCAGGAATTCTGGGAGTTGAAGTCCATGAGTCATAAAAGAGCCAAGGTTGCCTATCCCTGGGCTAGCCCAACACTTCACAGGTAGTGTGTTGTATGGGTCTTGGGGAGATCCTGAGTTAAATCTCTATGTAATCATGATAGTGAGCTAATTATGTTCTGTCTTCCTTGCTTCTCAAAAGGATTATTGTGAGGCTCAAGAAAGCAAGAGATGGAATCATTTATGCCATTGTGTTTGCAAAAAAGGTAAAGTATGATAGGCTAGGATTCAAGAAAAGTAGCCATTAAAACTAAAAAAAGGAATTTCATCTTTTGTGCCTATTTAGTAAAGTACATTACTCTTGTAATTTGACTTCTTTACCTCCATCTTCCATAACTTCCTTTCAGTAAGCCAAAAAATAAAACCTTAAAGAAACCCTACTTACCCCCCACCCCATCTAGAGCAGGGGTGTCAAACTGCCGGCCTGCAGGCTGGATGTGTCATGCCGAAACCGCGTCCATCCATTGCCGGCAATGGAAAAAAAGTCGCGATACATCGTGACACGTCACGTGATGTTGCGAGTTTGACACCCCTGACCTAGAGGCATTCACACACACCCCAAACGAAGCTGTTTCCCAGCACAAAGTTACGTTCCACCTGCCTTGAGTGTGCTTTGAAGCGTCCGAACCAGATGTACTTTCTCATTGATCTCTGGGTTCTTGTTACGCTTGACAAAGGATTTCCGGTAATATTCACGGGTGAACACCTGCTGTTTCCCAATAAGTGATACTCCTCCTTGTTTCAGACACTTGATCATTGACTCAAGTTCTTCTTCTGCTGGATCTTCATAAGATACAAGATACCACCGTGAGTTAAAATAGCTTTCAGGAGACAACTGAATAATAATCCAAAGAAATGAACACATTCTTGCAATTGCACATAACAGCATGGAGTTTTTAACCACCTAATAATAGAATCCTGAGAGGTTTCATTTCAAGTGGCTAAGGAGCACCGACTAACATTGCAGAAGGAAATCCGTAATACGGAGGCTCAAAAACATCCTCTATTTCTTTGTAATTCCATTTTTTTATTAGTTTATCCAACTATAACAGGGGTAGGCAACCTCGGCTCTTTTATGACTCATGGACTTCAACTCCCAGAATTCCTGAGTCAGCATAGCTGACTCAGGAATTCTGGGAGTTGAAGTCCATGAGTCATAAAAGAGCCGAGGTTGCCTACCCCTGAACTATAATATATAGTACAAAATACAAAAGAAAATAATGGGAAAACAAAGGAGGGAAAAGGGGAAGAGGAAAGTGTAGAGCAAAGGGGGGGGGGGAGAAAGAAAAGGCATTGACTTCTAACTCCTTTTGGTGCAATAGAATAAGATAATAACAAACCTCAACTTTTTACTTTTATATAATAACATAGACTAGCCGTTTCTATAACAACAAACCTATCTAATTGGCAAAACCCGAAATCAAAGTTTCATTTTTTTTTTCACCTCAAGCACAAAGTCCAGAAGCGGTTTCCAAGCAGAAAGAAAATTAATTGTGTTCTTTTGTTTAACCAGAGCGGTCAGTTTGGCCATCTCTGCTAATTCCATCAACTAAAAACATCCTCTATTTCTGTGCAGACTAGCAATTCAGATCTTGGCAAGAGCTGTGAAGCCAGCCTGCTACTTGGGGGAAAGAGAGAAAGAGAAAGAGAGAGAAAAAGGGCGATGGAAAGAGGGAGAAAGGGGGATTTTCAAGAACAGAATGGCACCATGTATTCATATTTACTGGCATGAGGATGTCCTAAATCAGCGATGGCAAACCTTTTAGAGACCGAGTGCCCAAACTGCAACCCAAAACCCACTTATGTATCGTCGGGTGCTGGGTGGGCGTGGCCATTGGGTGGGCGTGGCCCATTGGGTGGGCGTGGCTGCTGTGGTAACGGCAGACTGGGTGAGACCAAAAAGTTCAATCAATCAAGTCCAACTTTACGAGATCTTGTTTTTTCCCGCAAGAAGTTGAAATTGATTGATTGATTGAATCTTTTTTTTTTTTGCACACAGTGGTGGAGGCCTAAAGCGAAAAGGTTTTATAAAACCCATCTGAAGGCCTAGGACTGGGGCGACGGCACGCATGCCCACAGAGAGGGCTCTGCATGCCACCTGTGGCACGTATGCCATAGGTTCGCCACCATGGTCCTAAATAATAGCACCACCAATGGAACACAATGAAAAAAAAAAGGTTGTCAAATCTTCATTGAGTTACTGATATATGCACACACATGCCCATACTCCTTGTCAGTTTGGCAGGGGAAGATGAATATTGTAGTTTGAAATATTTGAGTGATGCCAGTTGGAGAAAACTGGCCTAAAGTTTCATATCAAATTTCCCCTGTTTCAGTCCATCAGTTTGGATATTCAACTGTTCAACTGTTCTTGCTTGCCTTTCTCTTATTTGCCTTTGCTAAGGGAACACTTAAGAAAACCTATAGAGACATTTGCACTATTTCATCCGTCTGCACAATTACAGTTGATTTTTCCAACATCTCACCTGCCACGTTCTTTCCAGTGAAGCTTGGGACGGTACCAAAGGTGAGCTCACCTGGAGAAGAGGGAGATGCTGTTTTCTCATCTACGCTGGCCTGGAAAAGTGGGCTGCCTGGAAGGTTTTGGCTACGCCCTGTAGCCCCTGATGGCAATTGAGCTTTCTCCAATTCCTTCTGCTTTGTCTGCAAGAAATGAAGAAAGAAAATAATGGATGCAGAAGAAATATAAGGGAATATGACCCCCTTGAGCTCAACCTCATCACATCCAACATTCTTCTGCAGTGATCTCTTCAATGGTTGCATTGCCATTTGGTGGTTGCAAGGAGCCGTAGTGGCACAGTGGTTAGAATGCAGTACTTCAGGCTAACTCACTGCTCACTCCAGGAGTTCATTTCTGAGTGGCTCAAGGTTGATTCAGCCTTCCATCCTTCCAAAGTCGGTAAAATGAGGATCCAGATTGTTAGGGGCAAATTGCTGACTCTGTAAACTGCTTAGAAAGGGTTGTAAAGCACTGTGAAGCGGTATATAAGTCTAAGTGCTATTGCTATTGCAATCCTTTCCAAACACAGCCAAATGCATGGATTCCCACTTTAGGTTTGCATGCTGGAATCAGGGCCTTTTTGGAAATCACAAAATGCCTTTTGCAGTTGCCTCTCATTCCTCCAAAATAATAAAGTCCAAATGACTTTATAAAAGGCATAAAAATATTTTAAAGTAAGAACAACCCACTATTTTTACAATGATGTTCCATCAAGAAGATACTGACCTGATCAAAGCTATGCCTAGGAGAGTCGTCCTCCGGATCCTCTGCTTCTGTTTCACTGTAGCAATCTAAATTGGAATGAGCCCAGAGAAAAAAAAATTAGAATGGAAACTCTGAAATAGGATGACTTGTACCACACCAGCTTTCTACCTCCATCCTCAGGATTCTATCATCCCCAGTCACCATGTTCCTTCCCTTTTTCCCTGATCTTAACTATGCATGCCTTGGTATCTGTGTATGTCCATATTCCCACTGCCCCCAGGTTAAAAAGGCAAGGACTTGGAGAAATTATCCATATCCAGGTTGATATCATGTTAGTGAAACCAAGTAGATACCAATACTAATATTAGGTCAAAATATTATAATGGAGGCAGATTTTTTGTCTGATTTTTTCAGGGGTGGGACGTGATACAGAATTGTCATCTTGCTTCAAGGCCATCTTGATTCTTGATTTCAAGTCAATCCCTTATTTAATATATATAATGCAGATGTATCATGTCTTATGTACTTGACCAGTAGAAAATAAGCTACTTTCAACAAGCACTCACCTTCTTGGTTAGGTGGCCCAGATTTATGGGACGCTGTATATTTGGTCATAGACGTGATCAAACGGCTGACCCACCTGGGAAGAAACACAGCTTGTTATTTTCCCAGATTCCAAGGTGTCTTCCTTGCAACGTTGAATATGGAAATGCTGAAAACAAATCTGTCTTCAAAACAATTCCCTTTTAAGACTCCATTGCCAAATTTTTATGCTTCTGGAATTTGTAAAAGTCCAGCAGCTTCAAAACTTTGTCTACAAAATGTACTGATAATGGGCACTCCCTTATGTCTTTGGTAAATTCTGACTGGAATCAAATCAGCAAAGCTTTCAAAAAAAGCTGCCTATTTATATTACCTTCCTTACCTGTTTTATCTCATCAGAAATAATCTGTTTAAACAGGAAAATCCAGAATGAAAATGCCAATCAAGATGGGGAAGCTCTTTGACATGTCAGATTTTGATGGAGGTACTGATTATTAGTTCCTCTCATTTATTTATTAAATTTTATGCCACCCATCTCTCCAATAAGGCGTCTCTGGGTGGCTTTCTTCCTAGATCAGTCCCTCTATCATCCCTTTCCATAGCTGAGAATAGAAATTTATTTCCACTCTTACTCTCATGAAATATATAATATTATATTATATATTCTCTGCTCCTATGACCCTCTGTGATGGTGTTGCATTCAAGACTTTGGGATCTGCTAATATTTCTTGAGGAAGAATCTGAAATTCTTCACGAATGTAGATCAAATGCATTAGAGACTATTAGTCTCTGAGACAGTTTGTAGGATGGAACACAAGTTGGCTACTCACATGCTCAGATCAGCCAGGGTTTCTGCTGCAAAGATGAAGGGCTTGTACTTCTCGTGGGTGAGTTGGAAAACACTGGAGAGGAAAAACAGTGAGAGTGGTAGGATTTCTCACGATGCCTTGCTGTTGAGAATCATACCTATATCCAATTACCAATTGGCATGGCTACAGCTGTATATCTAACTTGGAAAGGATTGTGTAATGATTGTGTAACGTGTGATTTTCTCCCCCCCCCCCTGAATTTTGCAAAGCTTATGGCTCCCTCAAGCCTACTTATAATGCCCTCAGATGTACAAGTGGTAACCTATTGGCTATGTAAGGATTTAATACAGAAATCAAGTTTGCTCTCAATGTGTATACCTCATCAATTAGCAAATCAAATACGTTTGTTGCCCACAAACTGCCGAAAGTTCTCTTCTAGCTGAAATTATGGGAATTTAACATATTTGAAGGACTTCAACATTGGACATATTTGAAGGACTTCAACACTCACTATTTCTTTTTCTGTTCCTTTGTGCTTTCCAATCTGTAGGCAGACACGTTGATTAATCCCACAGCCTTCTCATCCTAGTTTTCAGAAGAGGAACAGGAAAGAGTCCATTGACAAGAAAAGGAGAAAAGAGGTAAAAGTATTAATCTTTGGCCACAAACAGAAATATTTGGGACATTTTAAGGGCTTTTAATTTATCACACATTTTTTTTAAAAATAAAAGACGAGTTCATTCATTCAAGAGGGTTTGTTCTACGGAAGCTTGTGATACCATAACATTGGCTACTCTTAAAGGAACAACTGAGAACTATTCATGCAATAAACGGCTCCCTTTGCTGCCTTTTGTATGAAGAAGCACTGAAATATTTGGTGACCCAGATCAGAAAACTAAAACAAACCTTTAGGGAATACGTATTGCTTTTTTTTTTTAAAGTTTATTGAAAAATTCGCTTTCTTTTTTTATGTTTGCACCCCACCAAGAACGCAAGCAGCAAGCATACACTTCCTTTCCATCTTTCCACCTCAGCCTTTATGAGCGAAGGCATAGTGACCAGTTTAGAGTCACTCAAGGAACTTCCCAAGTCATATTCCTGCACCTTAATGACTGTACCACACTGGGTGTGCGAGAAACCCATGCAGGCTAACTAGCAAACAGTGTGTATGTCTTGAAGCACAACATAACTGGAAGTCATGAGGCTGGTGAAGGCTAGGCTAAAACAATCACTGATTGTTTATCTATCAGCCTTATATCCCAACATTGTTTTTGCACAACTCTAAGCACCATGCATAATACTTCCATTTATTTTCCCAACAAGAACTCTGTGAGGGAGGCTGGGCTGAGAGGGGACTGGCCCCAGCTCCCTGTCCTCTCCTCTCCTGTCCTCTTCTCTCTTCTTCCCCTTCCCTTTCGCTTCCCCTTCACTTCCCCTTTCCTTTCCTGCCCTGCTCCCCCTCTCCTGTATTTGCTTCAAATCTCTTTGGTAATGTAAGAGCAGCATTTTCATGTGGATTTCCTAGTCCACATAGTGGGTACTTGTCAGCTTAAATCAGGACCAGATGAATTGGGAAAACATACCCCCCTGACCTTGACATTTTGCAGGGCTTATAATTTCCTGAGCATAACATCATTCAAGAACTTAACCTTCAACATCCTATAACTGTGGGATCTCCAAAATAGTGGCCTTGTTCATTTGTCCTGGCCCTCACTCACAAACTTGTGATCTTGGCCTACCGTATTAATTCACTGTTGTTATTTTTAAAAAAGTATTTTAAAAATAAATGGAAAACTGATACGCTGCAAAGGAAGTCCAGCGTCACTTTGAGTTGACTGTTGCCATAGGTGTCAATTTACTCACGTTGGGGTTGCTGTACCAGTAAAGGTTGTGTCCCTTTAGCACAAACCAAAACCGTTTCCATTTCTGGGCCATGAAGCCCACGTGGTCCTTCTTTTTTAAGAGCCAACCGTCACAGTCCACCTGTCCCAGTTCCTGGCAGGAGATGCGTCGTCGACTTAGTCGGGTAGTGGCTCCTCATGAAAGCAAATTTAAAAAAGGGTCACCTAACATATTTTAAAAAGCTCTGAATGGGCCCCCACACCACAATTAAGTTCAGTTGATGGAATGAAAGAACTGGTGGAATTGAACGAGTTTCTGATCTTCCCCAGTGCAGATTCACACATGTGCATGTGCACATCCAGACACATGCACTGAATCTTGATGACTTTGGAAGGAGTTAACTCAGGGATGTCCATCCTTGGCAACTTTTAAGACTTGTGCATTTCAATTCCCAGAATTCCCTTGTCAGTCAGGGGGTAGTGTATCAAAAGCATACAGGTAATCCTTCACTTATGACCAGTGGTGGTATTCAGCCGGTTCGCACCACTTCGGCAGAACCGGTAGCTAATTTTTTGTTGCCCAGGCCCAGAATAGACTTCCAAAAGTGGCATCCATGCAGAGAGCCGGTTGTTCACATATTTGAATCCCACTCCTTCCTTCCTTCCTTCCTTCCTTCCTTCCTTCCTTCCTTCCTTCCTTCCTTCCTTCCTTCCTTCCTTCCTTCCTTCCTTCCTTCCTTCCTTCCTTCCTTCCTGTGGTGGGATTCAGCCAGTTCGCACCACTTCGGCAGAACCGGTAGCTAATCTTTTGTTGCCCAGGCCCAGAATGGACTTCTGGAAGCGGCATCCACACAGAGAACCGGTTGTTGACCTATTTGAATCCCACCACTGCTTACGACCCTTAGTTTGGTGACTGTTCAAAGTTACAACAGTGCTGAACAGGGGGATTTTTGACTGGTCCTCTCATGAGGGTTGCAGCCTCCCTGCAATGACATGATCACAATTTGGGTGCTTTGCAAACTGACATGAATTCACAAGGGTTGCAGAGTCTGAATCCTGTGATCACCATTTGGGGGAAATTGGATTTGCTTAACGGCCGTGGCAAAATAGGTAATAAAATCAGGCATGATCATGTGATGATTCACTTAATGATCATATCACTTAGCAACAGAAGTTCCGGTCCCACCTGTGGTCCTAAGCTGATGACTACCTGTAGCTTGATATTCAGGCAACCTGCCCAATGGTGAATACGGAAAGGTAATCACTTACCTTTTTGCTTCCGTCGAATTTCAGCGCTACCCTGTAGGGATCACCCAGAGAGAAGAAAACATGGTGAAATGACTGATGAGGAATTTGAAATACGCTAACCTGGAGTCCCCAACCCCTGGGCCAAGGACCGGTACCTGTCCATGGCCTGTTAGGAACTGGGCCGCACAAGCGACAAGTGAGTTTCATCTGTGCATGCACAGGATCTAGGTTGCATGTGAAACTATCCCCCTGTGGTCCGCCGAAGACCATTTTCTTTCTGAAACTGGTCCCTGGTGCCAGAAATTCGAGGACCGCTTGCTAACCAACCGCCTTTCAAAAACATAACTTTCTGTACCCTTTTCTCCCAAACTCAGTTCTTCTGAGGCTGGGTGGCCACAGGTTGGGCAAGGTGCATATGAACTAATTAACACAATTAAATGATTGGATTTGGATGTCTGCATTCAATCCATTTTGTAAATCAAAAATTAAAATTTAGCCTTATTTGCACAGTCCTAATATAAATAAATCTCACATAAAATGCTGCTTATATTAGCATCTTACCTGTGGAGATGTTAGTTCTAAACAAACCGATAAGTTAGCAAAAAAAAAAAAGAGCCTTACCTCTTTGGAATCTGCTGATGCCAGTCTCTGCTGTCCTCTGACAAATCCATTCTCATGTCTTGATGAGTCTCCTAGTTGATAGTCCTGTTTCCTAGGAGTGGAAGGGACAGTAGCATCTGGAGATTTAGGCCCCATGGCATCTGCTCCAAAGTCCTGCCTTTCCAGAGCAGGGTCAGGTATTGCCTCTGGAAAAAACAGAAAAAAACAAAAGCAGTCAGTAAATTCGGCCATTTTGGCAGGATGGTCAAATGGTAGAACTATACATGGAAAACTAAACCCAGCAAGCATGAGGAGCAAATCCATTGGCTACGTCCAAATGTACTAAACTAGAGAATGCCATAAGTGGCAATGAGTCTATGGCACCTACCTGGTTTTCTGCTCCATTTGAATTTTTTTAATGTTATTCTGGGGTTTTTTGAGGGGGGGGGGAAGATGATCATGGTGATCCTTGGGTAGATAATAATCAGGTAAGATAAAATGTAGGTAATATATAAATCAACAACTGGATGAAAGACTCTAGTTTCTCACTAGACTCAACAGATCAGTCTCCTTACCTGCTCCAGAAAGGACCTCTTCCAATCCACAGATATTATCCACAGGATGCCTGATGCAATCAGTTATCTTGTGCTCCTCTTGAACGGTGGGGAGATCAAGCACAGAATTCTGGGTTCCCTCGAACTCGGCAGTCATGCTTTAATGTGAAGGAGAAAAAATATATAATTGTTGATCTACTCTATTACATAACAACTACATGTTGCTTGCCAGACCCCCCCTCCCCCGCCAGATATCAAATGGTGTTCCTGCAAGATAAATGCATTTGTGGGCACTGAGAATTAAAATATTGGCTACTGTCCCTTCTCTTGGCACCAAATGTCATGAGATGCTGGATCCCCATTTCAACTTATCAATCCTAGTTATTTTCCAACCCAGCCTGCCCCAACTAGAAACCTTCCAGTTGAGACTGAAAACCCCATTATTCCCTAATCAGCCTCCAGTTATGCTGACTAGGAATTCTGGGAACTGCAGTCTCAGCATATCAGACACTGCCAAGCTGGGGAAGACTGTATAATCATTAGATCATAGGAATGAATCTGTAAACTTTGTTTTATCAAAACAAGCAAACGGTTGGGTGATTTTGCACCATTTTATCTCCCAAGCAGCAAGAGAATTTGAAAACTAATGTGTAATTCAGCAAGGGGAGCATCCCATCAGTTTAGGACTGGTGGGTAAATAATAGTTGAGAACAATAGTTGAGAACATCCTGGACAAAAGGGTTGTTTATTCACCAAATGAGAGCTAGATTGGACATAACTGGGCACAAAACATCTATTTACCAGGATATTAGCTACTTTCCCTCCCGTATGCCTACTTTTAGGGGGACATGATAGCAGTGTTCCAATATCTCAGGGGCTGCCACAAAGAAGAGGGAGTCAAGCTATTTTCCAAAGCGCCTGAAAGCAGGACAAGGAGCAATGGGTGGAAGCTATCCAAAGAGAGAAGCAACCTAGAACTAAGGAGAAACTTCCTGACAGTTAGAACAATTAACCAGTGGAACAACCTGCCTCCAGAAGCGGTGAATGCACCAACACTGGAAGTTTTTAAGAAGAAACTGGACAGCCATTTGTCCGAAATGGTATAGGGTTTCCTGCCTGAGCAGGGGGTTGGACTAGATGACCTCCAAGGTCCNTGGAAGCTAACCAAAGAGAGAAGCAACCTAGAACTAAGGAGAAACTTCCTGACAGTTAGAACAATTAACCAGTGGAACAACCTGCCTCCAGAAGCGGTGAATGCACCAACACTGGAAGTTTTTAAGAAGAAACTGGACAGCCATTTGTCCGAAATGGTATAGGGTTTCCTGCCTGAGCAGGGGGTTGGACTAGATGACCCCCAAGGTCCCTTCCAACTTTATCATTATCATCATTATTCCTTTTCTAGGCGGCGGGGGGGGGCACATTTCCAAGCTCCTGGTGAAAACGTCCCAACCCTTGAATTCTCTATGAGAGCTCATGATACCAATTTGGGCCGCAGAAGGATTGCTGGATTTGATGATGATAGAAGACAAACAGGTCAAGTATCTGGGCCAGTATCCCCAAGGACATTTACAATCCCTCCCACTTCCCACAAGTTACATGGGGGACCCTTATAAAAAAGATGGAAAACATTTTATTATTGGAAAGTTTAAAGTGCAGCCAAGTTGTAGCTTGAGAAATAGGAAGGGGGAAGATCATTAATTTCTTCAAGAGATATTCCATCTGTTCATTGAACCAGAGCATGTCCTTATGTTCCAAAATTCTCATTTGTGGTTTCTTTTCTATTGGAAGGTTGAGTGAAAATGGCATTGCGTGTTTTGTTACAGTGGACTAAGTCACGTCTGTAGGAAAATCAAGAAGCCAGCCTCTACTAGGAAATTTGTAAACAGTTTCTGGTGCCTTCTCCTGCTGCTATCTACTTTACTAGCAAGAGGTAGAAGAAAGGTAGAAGGTAGAAGAAAAGAAAGAAACCATGATCTGCACACATCACACCTTCTAATTCTGGGAGGTGGGGTAGTCTGGATCTCCCCTCCCAAAAAAAACATCAGCCTTTGCTATTGAACAGCTGTAGAGACTTCAACATTCAGGATTTCTACCCATGACGGACCCATGGGAATGTGAAGCCAACTCATTTGAGGCTTCCAAGTTGGAGAAGCTACCACTGGCCAACTGAAGTGGCCATTTCAAGTCCTAGTTTTAAATACTGTGAAAATAATCTGGTTGTTACTTGTCTGGTTTATTATTGAATTTATTATTTAGTTATTAGTTTATTATTATTGCATAAGTTTGCCAGAAAGAGAGAGAGAAAGAAGAATATATGCATGAGAGTTATATGTGCCTGTATTTATATAACTGCACAGTCATTTGGAGTCAGGCATCACATAACATAAATGAATGAATGAATAAATTTAAAAATAATGTATTCATATGTGCATGGTAATAGGAGAACTCTGCCTAAAGTCCAGCCTAGGATATGATGCATCTCATTTTAGAAAGGGCAGGAAGGCTGCCACATTTATTGGGTAAGATTTATATCCATTTTTCCTCCAAAAATTGAAAGCATCTTATAAAGTACTCACTCTGGGTTTCCCCCCAACAATAATAACCCTGTGAAGTTACAGGTGAAGGTGGGGTAATAGTCCTGACAGGTGGAGGTTTGCACCTTAGGCTTGTTGTGCAAATCCAGTTACTTTACTGTTGAATGTATTATAGATAACCACAAAATTGGTAAATTTAGTCAGCAGATAAGTAGGTTGGGAGAATACATCTATTATATGGTCATTTCCTAAGCAATTACTGGGTAGTGTCAGCACAGATGAGAAATCATTAAGCTGAGCGTACATAATTCTCATACATGAATATTTTGGTTGTTTTCTTGAAAACATTTCATTACCTAACTAGGTAACATCTTCAGGGCTAGAAAGGAGTCTGGTAGCAAAAAGATTAAAAGGAAACAAAAAGACCCCAAAACCTCCTCACCCGCAATCAACATCCAGATAAGCAGGGATTAACACCAGGATTAATTCCAATCAAGCAATAAACCATGCCCCAATCAAGGAACTACCAACCCAGAAAAACAAACAATAAACAAGACTGTAATCAAGAACTAGAAGAAAACAACATTTGACAGGGCAAGCCATTCTACAGAAACATAAAGCAAATCCTGCTTCCTTCTAGCACTAAAGATGTTACCTAATTGGGCAATAAAACATCTGCAAGAAAACATTTAGGCTCAGAGGGCATCAAGGACTCACACATTTTGCAATATGTGGAGAAAACATCTCAGGCTTGACCAGAAAACTCTTCTCTCTTCCCCCCCAGAGAATATCTGAGTCAGGTCCAACTCTAAACATACAGTAGCCTTCTCTGCATCACAGGAATGTTCTGTTTGCTCTTAGCATTCTCTTCCTTAGGCCATGGACCAAGAGCAGAACCTTCAGATGTCCACAGTTCACATCCCACATCACCAACCACACCCCATGGCAATCTTGCCAACAAACAGGTCCTGCACTCGGTGGATGTCTGACCTGGATGTTGGTGACGCAGAGCTGGCTGAAGAGTCATCACTTCTTGAGCTCAGGACTTCTAAGAAAGCATTTGGCTGCTGGGGAGCAAACAAAGCCAGTTAAGGACAGTATCTGTCTCAGGTGAGAAGCAATGCTTCCTGCTGCCAACTGATCTCCACTTTCAGCTTCCCGCTGAGTCACAATGAAACTCCTGGGAAATTGTAAAAGTAGGAGATGAATCACTGGTATATTTGGAAACAGAGGACAATGGAATTTCTAAGGTGCCTGCCTTGCTTTTCTAATGTAAAATCAACATGGTGTATTATTATTGTTGTTGTTGTTCTTGTTGTTGTTATTGGGGTGGCCCAAGACCTAAAATCTTGAAGAGATAGACCAGAGAGATTTTCAGGGGTTGGCAAATGGTAAGAAAGCATTTAAGCAAGGAGGATGAAGTAAGATAATGATGCTGGGGGTTCTCCATTGTTTTTTGGGGGGTTTAAAATATGCCAATCTATTCCATGGCTAACAACATGTAGGTGGGAACCAAGATCCCTAATTTGGGGAAAATGTGTCTTAGGAATGGAAGGGCAAGAGAATCCCAGGGATGCCCCACTACCACACTACACCATAGGTACTACATTGCTCCCTGATAACCACTCCAATCTACCCCACAACAGAATTTGCCCTTAAGCCTAAAGAGGTTCTAAAGCTGTTTTTCTCAACCTCAGCAATTTTAAGATGTGTTGACTTCAACTCCCAGAATTTTGCAGCCAGCATGAAAGTTGCTGAGGTTGAGAAATACTGCTTTAAAGATAAGAGATGCTCGAAGGATCATCCCTTATCCTTTTCCCTACTGAAAGTGGGGAAGACAACTGTGGTCGCTGATTTCATACATGAAGGACCACTTCCAGCAAACAGATGTGTGCTCTTCCGCATGAAGCAGAATTCCGGACTAATCAGCGATCTGGCATTGGTGGACATTGCAATGATTGGCATGTTGATTGTCTGGACATTGTAAAATTTGCTTCAAAACTTGCGCTGGCTGAAAATTGTGGGAGTTGAAGTTTTTCCTCTATGAAGTGCCAGGCTGGGGAAATTTACCTGGCTTGTACTTACTTGCTGGTGAGAAGGAGATTCTGGAGAACGGGGAGACTCTGAAGAAACCAGTGGGATTTTCTTCAGCACCAGTGTCACTCGACTGGATTCCAGAAGCTTCTTCACGAGATTCATCCGGGTCCACCCTATCTGCACAATCAACCATTTGCCTTACTTTTAATGATAAAAATGATGCTCTTGACTGCTGTTATGTTTTGGCTCATTGGTTATGCACAAAGCATTGTGAAGCGAGATAGAAAGCACCATTTTACATACAGTTATTCCTCGACTTACAACCACTGATTTAGTGACCATTCAAAGTTACAAGGGCACTGAAATAAGTGACTTAGAACTAGTCCTCACACTTATGACCATCACAGCAGCCCCGCCGGTCACATGATCAAAATTCAGGCACATAGCTACCAGCATGTATTTACCTCAGCTGAGGTGTCCCAGGGTCATGTGACTGCCATTTGCAATCTTCCCAGCTGGCGTCCAATAAACAAAATCAATGGGGGGGAAGCCCGGTTCACTTAATGACTGCCTGATTCATTTAACAACTGCAGTGATTCACTTAACAACTGTGGTAAAAAAAGTCATAAAATTGAGCATGACTGCCTTAACAATCATCTTGTTTAGCAACAGAATTTCTGATCTCAATTGTGGTCGTAAATCGAGGACTATCTGTAGATAAATATGGCTGTGAATTTCTCTTTCCAAATCAGATGAGTGACCATAAAAGTTGGCAGTGAGCTCCATTTATGAAACACCCTCTCAGCAGACCTGTTTGGTACATACAGCATTATATTTTTCAGGTCACAAAGATGCAATTCGCTTTCAAGAGCAACTGAACATTGTTTTTGTGGTTAATTTTATTGTGATACTATTACTTTTGTGGCGTATTTTAAAAGTCTCTATTACATTACTGTCTATGCTTTTATATGGGGTACATCGAAATGAATGCACATGTACAGAGACAGCTGGGAGCAGCTTCCTACATGAAATCATGAAAACCTGGAAGAAGACATGGCTACTTTCATGAGTCAATGAGAGATGCTTCATTTCGTGGGCCTTTGTGTTCCAAAGCATCTTTTTGCAAGGGTTTACACAGCCCTATAGTCTAATTTGGTAATGTTCACGTTTTAGCCCATGCAACATGTCATTTTGCTAAGATTTTAGTGTATTTGGGACTTCATGTGAGAAACCTAGTAATACAAACCCACAGAGTCACAAACACCACAACACGATCACAATTGGATAGTGCCAGAACGTCCATTGGCAAATTAATTACTTTTGTAATCAATGATATCCCTCAATAAAAAATATGATCACCTTTGGTAGAAAAAAATCATCTGCCTTAGACCTTGGCGAGTCATTGCAGAATTTATTTGGGCAGTGCACTTTCTATTAACTTAAAAGTTAATCACATGAGCTAATGCAGAGACTATGCTGGCCAGCTATTGTAGGAGGAGAGCTGTGTTAGTCCGTGGGAGCAAAGAAATTGCAGCAACTCTTTCCTGACTAATGAATTTTATTAAAAGGCAGCAGCTTTCATGAGTTGCAGTCAGTCAAGCCTGCTGTTTTACAGAGGACTGTTCTCTTATTTGAAGAGTTGGCGTGTTTTACTTCAGCTTAAAGATGTGCAATCACAGGAAGTCAGGAAAGTTGGAAGCAGCCATCGCCACTCAGCAGGTGGGCAATACTCAAAGTCTCTCTCACACTATAAGGAGCTAAAGCCTAATTTAATTATTTTGATGTTTATGTTTATATACATATATTAGCACATGGGAACTTTTCCATCTTTTCTCCTTCGGAAGTAGGGAGAGATGCTTTTCGTGACCATAAATGATCCCCCCCCCCCATCATCCAGCCAAGCAACTTCATGCAGCAGAAAAAGTAAAGCAAGTAATAATTAAGGTCTGCCCCATACAGGTTGATCTCTCCCTTATAGGGTACCTCAGCATCCCAGTTCGTCCTGCCCCAGGAACCAAGCAGAGAAGAAGCCCTGACTTACCACCACCTGGTCATTAACTTGGACTATTTCATCGCCTGGAAAGACCTTGCTGTACTGATCAACAGGAATCTGGAAGGAGAAAAAACCAAGAGACCCTCAAGGAAAGACTGCCTTTGGAGGTAAAGGGCTGAAAAGGCAGTACGGACAATCTCAAGGATTTATATAATTCTAATAAGAAACTTTTTGGACAAGAAAAGCCAAACTCCTTGGGGGTGGAGAAGGAAAGATTCCTGCCCAGGGGATTAAGTATTAACTTCAAGCTTGACCTTTTGGTTAATTCTAGCTCAATAAAGAATGCAAGGGAACGAAGGAGGCAGCTGTGCCAAGGAGAGGAGGGGAAGGGAAGGGGAAAATGGTAATTAGCCAAGTATGATGCAAAGTCCCCACGGGAGAGAAGAAATAATGACAATTGGACTGAGCCACATTTTCACAGGCAACCGTTTGAAAAAGAAAGATGAACTAGCCTTGGAAGCCTGTTGCCAAAGAAGGTCTATTTTAAGGACTGGAGTTATGGTGACTCTGCTAGTCTTGGGAATTGCATTGGGAGGGGGAGAGGCAGAGCTATGAACTAAACCCGCTCCCACTGCACACTCACCTCTCGGGCAGTCCCTGATATCAAATGGAGACAGGAGGGCAAGGACTTAATCTCTAGGCCCTGTGGAGAGAAGATTTAGGAGACAGGCTTATCAGCTCAACTCTGGCTCCGCAAGAGGCAGCTGCCTCGCTTGTCCGTTCAGTTCCTGGCATCTCCCTCGAGTCACTGGATAGCAATGGCTCATCCAAGGAGATCAGCCTTTCCTAATGCAACACCCTTCAGATAATGCATTCATGGATGGGAGGAGGTACAAAAACATTTGAAGGAGGTCCAAAACATCCAGGTTGAAGAATGCCAGATGATGCAAAACTGGCCAAGATGGACCAACCCAGTGGAAGGCAGTTTCATATGTAAACAGCTGTGACATTGACCATATATATGTCACAGCTTGGGGTTGCTAATTCCTGGATAATTTTATATATGTATAGCTATACAAAATTATAATTATAAATTACATATGGAAAAACTATCCTGGAATTGAAGCTGGGATATTAACCATTGTTCTTTTTAGCAAAGAACCCTAAAATAAGGGGATGTCCACATAGGGATTAGCTGCGTAGGCGGAGAATGATAGATGTGGGAGTCCAATATTGGTCAGACTTGTGTGGTACTTGGGAAAATTCCTGTTCCAACCATAGCAAGATAAGATTGATAAAGAGGCCCTTTTTTGAAACCCCTGGGAGAATGACTCCATAAAGGCATCTGTGTAAGTTCTCATGGTATCGATCACATGATGGGACCTGGAACAAGACGTTCTTCAGGAGGCCAACTCCTCCATGCTAAACTCTTCTCTCCTTCACCTCATTCTTCATCTGCCCTGGCAATGGTTCTTCAGCATCTCCAGCACATTCTGGCTGTTTTGCCTCTTTCTTTCCTTTTATGTTTTCCCTCTTCAGACATTTTAGGCACTTCCTCAAAACTTGAGATTCCCAAAAGACCTCTCTCTTTGGTGTGGGAGCTTACAAGATTTACCAGTGTTTTCCAGACCCTTTCAGATCTGCAAGGCAAATATTATTTATCACACAAGATTTGTGTGGAACTGAGTCAATTACTTGGAGAGAAAAATACGTGTGAAAAAAATAAGAGTGTGGCTCTGCTCACTAGTAGTTTTGATCATGCCCACAAACCAGTGTTAAGACCCCCAATGAGTCCCACAAGAGACAAAAAGGGTATTGGTGGCCAAGAACTGTTGTAGAATGAATAAGGTACATATTAAGTTAGAGGACTTTGCCTTCAGCTCTCTTTGTCCAGAAGAGCTGTAGTACTGACAGTGCCAGACTCACCAAATTATCTTCTGGGCCTGCAGGTTCAAGTTCCACCGTTTCCAAGATGGCTGTTTGATCCAGGAGGTTAGCTGGGCTGCAGTGCAAGATATGTTCACAGATTCCAGAGATGTGTCTTCCCTGCAGAGTGGAAAGCATAGCTTGAACTGCCCTGTACAGTGGTGTCCTCAAGAGTGACCACTCTAAGAACAAGTGAGATCCAAAGAATCCTAACATATAAACCAGAGGTCCCCAACCTTTGGGGCACTAGGGACCGGTTCAGTGGAGAGAGGTTTTTCCATGGACCAGAGGGTTTGTGGTTTTTTGTGCTGCCTGCATCTCGCGGATGGGGCTTTGCTTGTTTGTGCGGACTGGTTGCTGACATGCCGCAGCCTGGTACTGGTCCACGTACTGGGGGTTGGGGACCCCTGATATAAACCATGGACCTGTGAAATGTGCTTAGCTACAACCTGGCAAATGCGACTGAGTTATTTTTATAGACCTTCTGCAGATCTTTTCAGGTCACTTAGGAAACAGTTAAAAGGTAAATCTCTCTTATGTAGTAATAAACAATGCTCCCTACTAAAGATATGGTGATGGTCACCTGCTAGGAGGGTTTGCTTACACCATTTGGGGCTCAGTACTCAGTCCAGTACTGTGACTGGTTTAAAATTGGCCCCCAAACTAAAAACCATTCTTTCTGGTGATGTTACTACAACACCTTAGGACAACTTCTTACGATCTTCATCAGGTCAAGAGGTATAGTTGTGGCCATAATCCTTTAGAATTGACCCATGTCTGCCTGGGAATGGATGTATGGAAATGAAGTATTTCCAATAGACATGTGGCTGGCCAGATGGTCTAGAACAGGGGTAGGCAACCTTGGCTCTTTTATGACTCGTGGACTTCAACTCCCAGAATTCCTGAGCCAGCCATGCTGAGGGGAAAGGGAGAGGTTTCCAAGCTGAGCCATGCTGGCTCAGGAATTCTGGCAGTTGAAGTCCACAAGTCATAAAAGAGCCAAGGTTGCCTACCCCTGCTCTAGAGGCTAGAGGACTAGATTATCCTTGGTCTGATCCCACAACTTTCTTCTTCTGTGTGTTAATTGGAGAAGAGGAGGAGTTAGAAAGATATTCGCATCTCCACCAATGACTTTTCAGACAAACCGACTTAGATTCTGTATATAAGGCAATTATATGGCTATTAACCCAAGGAAGGTTGGGAAATTTGTAGTTTCAACACTGTGGTGGGGACCCAGATCTTTTCACTACTTACGATCAGCAAAATTCGGTCCTCTCTCTCAGACACAGTGCACTCCTATAGGGACAAATACAAAGAAAGGTACATTAATAGAAGCTGGGGTTGTTGATTCAAGTTAGACCACCTTTTCTAGTTGAACTAGACACCTTTTCACCAAGATCAAAGGTATGATGAATTCACAGAAATTCAGATGGCATTCCAATCCTCCTCCTAATTGGATTCATTGCAATTCCAATTCAGAGCGGCACATGGAATTTGGGCACCCATGCATTACCCAAAGCTTTAAACAGAGTCAACTAGGAAAGGTGTTTAATCTTAAAATGGTCACTTTATCAGCTTAAGAACAGGAGGCATGCATCTTATAACTGTGGGAAATATGTATATGAAGTTTACACAACTGTTTTAATAAAGGATGACCATAATTCATTATGATCATCCATGAATAATCTGTGTCTGGAAGCAACTTATTCATATATATACTGTATGTGTAGAGCAGCCCTTAATCTTGTTGTTATTGCTCTCTTTTCCACTTAATGTCTTCGCCTTTATTTTCTTTACTTAAATAAAGGCAAAAAAAAACCCCTCAACAACAATCCCATCACTCAACCATGGGAGATACAGGAAATTCGAAAAGGTGACAATGTTTTGGCATCCAGGAGTACCACACATTCAGGTTTTAGTCGTTACCATACTCGTTTTTAAGTCCAATTTTGATCAGCTAATATCACACATTTGAGCAATTTTTTAAAATTAGCTTTTGCTTGTTCAAAGCAAAGATTTCATACAGAATAACAGAGATGAAAGGAACTTTAGAGGTCTTCCCTCCTCAAGCAGGAGACCCTATACCATTTCAGACAAACGGCTGTCCAATGTCTTCTTAAAATGCTCCAGTAATGGAGCATCCACAACCTCTGAAGGCAAGTTGTTCCACTGGTCAATTGTTCTGTCAGGAAATTTCTCCTTATTTCTAGGTTGGTCTTCTCATTGATTAGTTTCCATCC